ATGAGAGTTCCCTTAGCTCCTCATCCTTGCCAGTACTTGGGTTTTGTCCTTGTTTTTGATTTTTGCCAATTTTGTGAGTGTGGATGGTATCTCACTGTGAGTTTAATTTTAATTTTTCTGATTCTTAATGAGGTTGAATATCTTTTCACATATGTTCTTGTATGTTTCCTCTGTTATTTCTTTTTCTTTATTTGCTCCCCTTTCCCATTGATTACATATGTATTTTAAAAAATTGATTCGTATTTATCTGTTCTGGGATACTACTTCTTTGTTGATTATATGGGCTATAATTATCTTTTTGTTTGTAGCTTGTCTTCTTATTCTCTTTATGGGGCATTCCTTATTTCAGATTTCTCAGTCTTACATTTGTTCTCCTAAATCTTTAATAGTTTTTGACTTTCACATTTAGGTTTTTAATTCATCATGAATAAAGGAAATCTTCAAACACAAGAGGAGAAAAATGGTGGACCCCTCCCCATTTATTCATCTTTAGAAGTCTAATTCTGTTACATCGTTTTTTCCCTCCTTACCTTTTTTGGGAAATATTTAAAGCAAATCCCAGCATCGAGTCATCTTACCTGTAAAGATTTCAGTTTTGCTGATATTTATCTGCTTGGTATATGAGTTTCTGAGAGAGGTATGTTAAAATGTATCATGGTGGATTTGGCAATTTCTTCTTCTTTTTCAGACATAATCTCACACTGTCACCCAGGCTGGAGTGCAGCGGCCCAATCTTGGCTCACTGCAACCTCCGCCTCCTGGGTTCAAATGATTCTTTTGCCTCAGCCTACCAAGTAGCTGGGATTATAGGTGCCTGAAACCACACCCAGCTAATTTTTTGTATTTTTAATAGAGACAGAGTTTCACTATGTTGGCTAGGCTGATCTCAAATTCCTGACCTCATGACCCGCCCACCTCAGCTTCCCAAAGTGCTAGGATTACAGGCGTGAACCACCATGCCTAGTCAGATTTGGCAATTTCTTATTGTGGTTTTATCAGTTTTCACTTTATAGATTTTAAGACTATCTTAAAATGTTTAGAATTATTATCCTGCTGAGTGAAATATTTTTATTATTATAAAGGGACTTTCTTTATTTCCTATAATCCTTTTTGCCCTAAAGTCTTTTATATCTGATATTAAGTATAACAATACCAGGTTTCTTCTATACCAAGGGTGATATGTCTCTTTCACTCTCCTATTATTTTCAACATTTGGTATCATCATTTTAACATGTATCTTACAAGCAACATATAGCTGGCTTTTGCATTTTTATCTAGCCTAACTACCTTTGTAATTTAACTGGAAAATTTAGTCTACTTAAACATAAATACTGAGCTATTTTATTTTTTTTCTGATTTTGTACTTTTGTCTTGCTTTTCCTTTTTCTTTCTCCTTTCTTGCCTTCTTTTGGAGCTTATCACAATCTAAATCTTCTTCATTTCACTGTTCTCCTTAAATGCTTGAATTTCAATTCCTCTTAACTTGTGTGCTATCATTATCATCATGTATTTTAATTTCCAGCTTAAAAAAATTTAACCACACAGAGCACTGTTGTTCTTATATGACTGGTGTTTTGTTAACATTACCCATGTATTTAGACCTTTGTTCTTCATTTGTGTTTACGTCTCAGACTTTCCTTAAAGGATCATTTTTCTACTGCCTTTAGAATTTCTTTTACTGACAGTCAGCAGGTGTCAAATTTTATAAGTGTTTACTCCTTCCAAGTTACTTTTATTTTACCCTTATTCTCAAAAGATTTGTCTTAAATAGAATTCTGTTCTGCCTTAGCACATAGCAGGTACTATTTTACTTTTAGTTATAAACAATTTGACTTCAGTCTTGCTTTTGAAACGTCAGTTTTCCTTCTTATTCTTACTCTCTGAAGGTAATCTTTCTATTCTTCCTGGCTGCTTTTAAAATATTCTTTCTCTTGTTATAAAATTCCACAATGATATTTCAGTATGTGGATCCATTTTTAGTAATCCTGTTTGGGATTCATTGGGCTTCTTGGATATTTAGATAAGTATCTTTTTTAGTTTTAGAAAGTTTGAAGAGAAGTTGCTGAGAATATTTTCCTGCCTCATTTTCTTAACTCCTGGAATGCTAATGAGATTTTTGTTAGATCTTCTGACTCCTCCATGTCTCTTTATAAAATATGCACCACGTCTTTGACTGTCTTCTGATTCTTCCACGTCTCTTTTTAAAATATGTACCATGTCTTTGACTCTCTGCTGTGGTCTGGTTACTTTCCTTTGACCTGTCTTCCAATTCTCTAACTCTCCTTTGGTTTCTCAAATCTGCTGTTAAACCTGCCTGTTGCGTTTCTTATATCTAGTAATACATTGTTTATTTCTGGAAGTTCTGTTCGGTTCTTTTAAAAATTGAATTGTTCTCCTCATTATGTTGTTTTATCTTTCTGTTGTGGGTATGTGACTGAATGTGTCTCTGTGGGCTGAGCTGCTTATTTTTCTCAGAACTGTGTCTGTGGAAAATCATTGAGTTCTAGGATAAAACTTGAGTTTCTTCAGAGAAGATTGCATTTGCTTCTGTCATTTGCCTACAGCAGAGGTGTCCAATCTTTTGGCTTCCCTGGGCCACATCGGAAGAAGAATAATTGTCTTGGGCCACACATGAAATAAACTAATGATAGCAGATGAGCTAAAAGAAAAAAAAAACTCACGAGAAAACCTCATAATGTTTTAAGAAAGTTTATAGATTTGTGCTGGGTTGCAATCAAAGCCACCCTGGGCTATGGGTTGGACAAGCTTGGCCTAGAGCCTCTTCCAGTCCTTGACCCCTTAGAATTAATTCTGGGTTTGAGATTTTTCAAAACAACCTAGTAGTATTTTAAATTGTAATTATCTATGTGAGGGCTGGCTTGTGACTTTGAGTTCTCAGGGGAGATGATTTTTGTTTTTCAAAGCTATGGCTCAGTACAACTTTTTTTTTTTTTTTTTTTTTTTTTTTTTTTTTTTTGGTGGATTCTGGCTCTGTTCCCCAGGGTGTGAGATCTTGGCTTACCGCAACCTCTGCCTCCCAGGTTCAAGCAGTTCTCCTGCCGTAGCCTCCTGAGTAGCTGGGATTATAGGCGCCTGCCACTGTGCCTAGCTAATTTTTGTATTTTTAGTAAAGAAGGGGTTTCACCGTCTTGGCCAGACTAGTTTTGAACTTGTCACCTTGTGATCCACCTGCCTTGGACTCCCAAAATGCTGGGATTACAGGTGTGAACCTGGCCTCAGTGCAACCTTTCTTTTTAATTATTTAAATAGTCCCTTTGGAATATGACAGCTCATTTCCAGTTTACCTTCATACTGAGGGATATATGTATTTTAATTTTTTTGTTATTTTATACTTTTGACTTTTCCTTTTTCTTTCTCCTTTCTTGTCTTCTTTTGGAGCTTATCACAATCTAATTTTCCTTAATGTCAGCATTTGCCTTAAACATTTGAATTCCAATTCCTCCAGACTTATGTGCTGTCATTATCATCATGTATTTTAATTTCCAGATCTTTAAAATGTACATTTTAAAGATCCAACTTTTCTAGGGTCTCCAGACTCCCTACCTTAGGTGGGTCAGTGTTCTTTGTCTCCTGTTCCCAGAGCCTTGTATTAGTCTGTTTTCATACTGCTGATAAAGATATACTTGAGACTGGACAAAAGAAGGAGGTTTAATTGGAGTCACAGTTCCACGTGGCTGGGGAGGCCTCACAATCATGGCGGAAGGCAAGGAGGAGCAAGTCGTGTCTTACGTGGATGGCAGCAGGCAAAATGAGAGCTTATGCAGAGAAAATCCCATTTTTAAAATTATCAGATCTCATGAGACTCATTCACTATCATGAGAACAGCACAGGAAAGACCTGCCCCCATAATTCAGTCACCCCCCACCAAGTTCCTCCCATGACACATGGAAATTGTGGGAGCTACAATTCAAGATGAAATTTGGGTAAGGACACAGCCAAACCACATGAGGCCTGAAAAGCCAAAAAACTGGTAATTACATTTACCCAGTTTGGCAAATGCCTTCAAAGTGAAAATCAGCTTTAGAGAGCTGAGTTGACCTTTCTCTGTTCCTGTGTTCCTATAACTTCTGTCCTGAATATTCCTGGCCTTCTTACCAACTTATGAATGTATTTAAGAGAACGTTTTAAAATGTTTGTCCAGTATTTTTTTGTTGTTTTTATCAGGAAGGTTAGTAAAGGCTTCTAGTCCTCTGTGTTGCCATACATAGGAAAGTCTCTATATTTTTATTTTTGTTTCTCTATTCCTAACTAGATTTTACCATTCTTGAGGGATGTGACCTTCCTTTGGACTTCTTTGGCCTTCTCTGTAGTATCACATTCAGTGTTCAGTGGACACTCAGTTATGTAGGTAGATATGTAGCTAGAAAACACTTTTGAGGGTTTCTGTTTTACATATTTCATATCTATTATAGTTTTTAACTTTCCCAGTTATTTGGTAAGGTAGGTTATTTATTTATTGAAACAGGGTCTCACTCTGTCCCCAAGGCTGAAGTACAGTGGTGCAATTATGGCTCACTGCAGCCTCAACCTCCTAGGCTTAAGCGATCCTCCTGCCTCAACCTTCCATGTAGTGGAGACCACAGATGCACACCACCATGCCTGGCTAGGTTTTTAAATTTTTTTTGTAGAGATGTGGTCTTGCTTTGTTGCCTAGGCTGGTCTTGAACTCCTGAGCTCAAGTGATTCTCCCGCCTTGGCCTCCTGAACTGTTGGGGTTACAGGCATGAGCCACCATGCCTGGCCATTATTATTATCTCTGTTTTACTGATCAGTAAACTAAGACTTAGAGGGAGAATTTGAACACAAATCTGATAGTAAGTAGGGGTAGAATTTAGATTCATGACTATTGACTCATAATTCTGTGTTCTTTCCCCTATGCCATTTTGCTTTTTAATTAATGTCATTGATATTTGACATCTCCTGATTACTTTATCTAGATTTGAAAATTCTAGAGAAACCACTGGCTTCATAGTATCTTGATGCAATTATCTCTAAATCCTCACCTAAAATACATTTTTAAGGTATTTACTTTGCTTAAGCTTTCACCAGTGACTTAAAACAATATATTGACTTCTGTTACAGAAAACAGAAGAAAGAATTGGTCGTTTTTACTGTTGCAGCATTGTGAAATATTTTTGTTATAAAATGTAGGTAATTTTTGTCTTTTCCAACAGGTGTGTATGTAATATAGATTGCAGTGGATACAGTTTTAATCCTGTGTGTGCTTCTGATGGGAGTTCCTATAATAATCCCTGTTTTGTTCGAGAAGCATCTTGTATAAAGCAAGAGCAAATTGATATAAGGCATCTTGGCCATTGCACAGGTAAAATCCATTTTATTTATTCAGAGACCCGTCTTTATTATTGTATGCATATAATCGTATTTGTACATTTGGTAGTATTTCAAATTGTAAAATGAGAAATCCTTGAAGCTTTATTTTCTTTTATTACTTCATATTTCAGAATTTATTTTTATTACTAATTTCGACTTTTTAAAAATTTATTTTCTTCTTCTCAAGACACAAACTGTGCTTCTTGGTTTTTATTTAGTTCTTGGTTGCTAGTTGATCCTAACATGAAATTATGAGTATTATTTATAGTTCTAAGGTCATCTCAAATTTGGAATGATAATAGCTGTTTAAGAGTTAGATAACTTATTTTAATTATAGTAAAACTATGTTATGGCCATAATTTGTTAAACCTCTTTTTTTTTTTTTTTTTTTTTTTTTGAGACGGAGTTTCGCTCTTGTTACCCAGGCTGGAGTGCAATGGCGCGACCTCGGCTCACCGCAACCTCCGCCTCCTGGGTTCAGGCAATTCTCCTGCCTCAACCTCCCGAGTAGCCGGGATTACAGGCACGCGCCACCATGCCCAGCTAATTTTTTGTATTTTTAGTAGAGACGGGGTTTCACCATGTTGACCAGGATGGTCTCGATCTCTTGACCTTGTGATCCACCCGCCTCGGCCTCCCAAAGTGCTGGGATTACAGGCGTGAGCCACCGCGCCCGGCCAAACCTCTTTTTATAGAACATAATAGTTTACTTTGTTTTCCAATTATCTGTGTCATTTTTCCCTGTACATATTATGTACGATTACAGATTTTGGTATGAAGTTAGAGAATGTAAAGAAAAATTATTGGTTTTAGCTTAAAATTCTTTTTGTCCTTCTTGCTTTATGTTTTAGCCTAGAAACCATGATACCATATAAGAAGGGAGTTTTTGTTTTCCACCCCTATTAGAAATATTCAGTCTCTAAAGCCAGAGGTTCTCAATCTTCTTTCCTCAATAATACTCAGATGAGCTGGGAAGACGGATCATTTCCTCAGTTACATATGTGGGCCTTGTGCATTCTCATGGAGTAGAATTGTACATCTTTCTTGCTTAGTAGTTCCCCACTTCTTCCCTTTTTAGACTTATTAAAGGGATATTATGCTTTTATCTGAACTAAGGGGAAAAGGTTGTAAGCCAAAATTTGGTACTTTATATTGGTAACAAATTATTTGTGACACACTACACAGTTGATCGCAGTACCTCTGATCTAAACTACCAGATTTTATGAGAGCTCACTCACTATTATGAGAACAGCAAGAGGGAAATCTGCCCCCACGATCTAGTCACTTTCCACAAGGCCCCTCTTCCAACATTGGGGATTATAATTAGACATGAGATTTGGGTGGGGACACAGACCCAAACCATATCAGTCAAGCTTGAGAGTTTAATTAAAATGCATCTTTTGGATTGATTGGTCCTTAAGTTTTGTCTTAGTCTCCTCTGTAATTTTTCATCCACAAACCTAATTATGTCTTTTCTTTGCCTCCCCAACTAGTATTGGGAAGCTTGTGCTTCTATACATGTGGTTATGGCTCATTTATAGTCTTCTCAGTCCATGTGCAGTTCTCAAATCAGGGGTCATTTTTTATAGTAAGTGTTTCATAACACAGCTGAGATTCCCCATTTATCTTAATCTGATGTTTCTAGGGAAACAGTGGCAGGAGAAGGTAAATCTTGAGGCAGTTGTCCTTTAGAGAAAGAAAGGGTTAACCCTTTATTCTCAGAGTATGTGTTGTTTTAGTTTGCATAGGAAAGAGTTTTTAAAGGAGGTGACATTGGAGCTGAAGTATAGATGAAATTGACTATTCATCATGCAAAGAGCACTTACACCTAGGATGCCTCGAGGCATTTAGAGAATGGTAGACAATGTGAACAGGGTAAGTGGACAGAGGTTAAGAAGAACTTGGAATAATTTGGAATTATTGGGAGTATCATGATATGACTTAACCATTGTGTATATCTTAATTTGAAAACCGTTTTCTCTTATAGATACAGATGACACTAGTTTGTTGGGAAAGAAAGATGATGGACTACAGTATCGACCAGATGTGAAAGGTACCGAATCATGCTTCTCCAAATTTTGGCCAACTATGGAAATATGGTCATTAGCTGTCCTTATTAGTTCTATTTCCATTATAAAAACACCCCTAACTTTGCTCTCTATAGTAATATACCTAACACAGTCAATTATTAGTATTAATAGTAACAGAAACAGTTGAAGCTCATCTCTTCATATGTAAGGTACTCTCATATATGCTTTCTTTGATTAAAATTTTTATTAAGATAATTTTAGATGTACACGTAGTTGTAAGAAGTTATACGAAAAGATCTCTCAATATGTTTTATAAAAATCCTCTTTACTCCTCTAGAATCTCCTGTTAACACTTGGCCTGTGCCCAGGTCTTTGAACCTTGTTCCTTTTGCCTGAAACTCTTTATTTCCTTTCCTGACTAATTCCTTCTTTTCCTTTTAATCTTAGCTTGGAGGTAATTTTCTTTTGGGAAATATCCCTTGACTCTGGAGCCTATATTAGGTGCCTTTCCTGTATACTCCCCTCTCTGAACACTTAGCCTACTCTATTATAACTGCCTTTTTATTTGTCTCTAACCCTCTCTGGGCTATGAGTTCTGTGAGGAGAGGAGAACCAGTCTATCATGTTCACTCTGTATCCCTAACCCTAGCAGAATATCTGGCACATAAGTAGGTACACTGTGCTTGTCTAAAGAGTGGACGCGGCTCAAAGAAGCAGTGGGTTGTATTTACACAAGGTCTCATGTAGTAGAGGTCAGAGCAGAGTCTGGATTCCAAATTCCTTGACTTCAAGGCCTTTGCTCTTCTTGCTTGTTTTCATATCCATTGTTTTGTTTGATTCTTATAACTGGTCTGGTAGGTAATGATCAATGGGAAGATTGAAGATCAGTGAGGTTGTATCTAGTTAACTAAAACAGGTCTATATCTTTGGCCTTCTAGACTAGCACCTCTATATAATTGCTGTATCACAGTGCATCATTTATCCATTTGTTTGGTTATACTATTAAAAGATATGTGATCTACATTTTATACCTAGTTTCTAAAAAATATGTAAAATGGGAGTGATAATAATACCTGTTTCATAGAGTTTCATAAAAACTAAATGAGATAATACATGTCAAGTGCTTTCAACAGTGTCGGACATACTCTTAAGTGTTCAACGATTGGTAGCTGTTATTATCATTGAGTAATTCGTTACTTCTCTTACTTGAATCATATCAAACCTGCATCAGTTATAACCGACAAGCTCCTGAGATATGTCTCCTATGTTGATAAAAAATGCTGTATTTAAAATAGAAAATCTCCTGTATTCTCATAGGAGACAAAATAGATCAGCTTCAGTTTTATTCACTATATTGATAGTACTTGACTAGAATAGGAAGGCTGTTTTTCAGTATTTGGAAGCTCATACTTAGGACAATTTGGAGAATTGTGTGTTCTGAAGCACTTGTATGCTGTTGATAATGGGCAATTTAGAGCCTAGGCCACTTTTGAGGTACTGAAAACCTTTTACACATAAGAATTGATCTCTAATTTAAATAAAATTATCATATTAGATATAATTTATTATGTACCTAATTTATATTGGTCATTTTACTGTTTGTGGTTAGAAAGATATCTAAAATATATGGATCTTTAAAGAGCTTATGATATAGTAAATGCAGATAACCAGCTTCTAACAAAGTAGAAATTGATTATTGCTATAAATGTAGTACAGTTTAAAAGTACAATGGGAATTCAGAAAAATCGAGATTAATCTTTGGTGGGGAACAGTGGGAATCTGTGAAATGTCATAGAAGAAGTGGAACTTGAATGAACCATGAAGGATGGTTAGGATTTGAACAGGAGTCAGAAGGATATATAAGGAGGATAGGAGAGCATGAGCATAGATATGCATACAACATTATGACAGGATGTGTTGGAGAAAGGTAAGGAATCCTTTGGGCTGGAGAGTAGGCGGCTTAAGAGGTAGAAGTGGAAGGCAAGGCTAGAAAGATAGCTTGGGGCCAGATTGTGTAGATTGTTGAATCATATGCTACTCTAGGGAATTTAGACTTTATTCGTGGGCAGTGGGGAATCATTAATATGTTTGAAAAAATCAAGGCTACAAAGTTAATCATTTGAAAGCATGATACCTGGCAGGAACATGGTGCTTATTATATACAGTGGAATGGAGGCAGAGATATCAGTTAGGTAAAGTCAAAAGAATAGACATCTGCTTAGATATGAGAGATAGAGAGTTAAAAATGACTTAAGACTTCAAGCTCAGATGACTTAGATGATGAATTCTGTTCACAGAACTAAGGATATTATGGGTAGGTAAAGGTTTTTGGAATAAGGTAAAGGAGGAGTTGATAGTGGAGGTGATTGATTGTATTTTAGAGTTTGAGGTGCTTGTGGAACTCATCCAGATTACTTTGTTCAGTATAAATTTGTGAGTCAATCTTTGGATATAGAGGTGATAACTGAAGCCACAAGAATGAATGAGAGAGAGTTATATTATCTGGTATAGTAGCTACTGGCCACATGTAGCTATTTAAATTTAAAATCAACTTGGACAACATGGTGAGACCTTGTCTTTAAACAAAATTAACCGGGTATGGTGGTATGTGCTATGGTCCCAGCTATTCA